CAAAAATCGATTTTGCGTAAAAATTCCCGTTTTTCCTTAATTTTTCTTTTGTTTTTCACGTCGCTTTTGAAAACTACTGGGAAATGTTTACTTTTGACCCCCCAAAGTACCAACTAGATTCACTTTCCTATCAGAAAAGTTGCTGTTGAAGAAAATCGAAGCAGTTTTACTGCCCTAAAAGGTGATGACAGACACAAAAATAAAAAAATAAAAAAAAAAATAAAAAAAAAACACACATCATTGTAAAATCAATACATTCATCGCTTCGCTCAGAATCTAAAAAACGAAGACATTTTTGGAATTGTATTAACCAGTTTTGATTTAAAAAATCATCAGATTAAAAATTAAACAAAGTTTATTATGTTAGACTAGAATTTTCTACACATTTTACTATTCTTAAGTAAGAAAATGTAATTTAATATTATAGTAGGTACTGACTTTTTCATAACTAAAATTGTTATTAATTAATACTAAAAAATATAAACTTTATTTTAATATTCTTAAAAATAAAATTTCTTCAATTGTAGTATTTGCAATAGTAAAAACTTGTTATTAATCTCATAGGCATTTTAAAATAACCGACCTAAATAAATTAATAACATAAGTTTTTAACATATTAACACAAAAGGTTCAGAAGAAATAACATAAATTGTACAGAATTTGTTGCATGCATTTATAAAATTGGTACTTTTGGTTTGTTTCTTCTATACGGATATCACATTGGGATCTAACATGTCATCTTCAACTAAATTGTGTGCCTCCAACTCATCACATAAATCACCAAATAGTTTAGTTCGAACAGGGCTGAAATTATCATCATTACAAAGTTCATTGACATTGGTGAAATGGTGAAACATAAGAATTATTATATATTATTTACATTTCTCTCTTAGTTTCAGTTATTTCAAAAATTCCACTAGATGTTTTAGGAGAATGGTTTGTAAGTGGTGTTAATTCATTAGCATGTAATTTTTCTGCATAAGGAATATCATGATATTCCAATCCATGCTTACTATAAAATAAAAATGTTTTGTACATACCAAAATAATATCTAAAAGAAACATTAAGGTGCGTTTACACATGAGCAAAAGCACGGTCGAGCCGTAGTGAGCGCGAGCAAAACATGAGCACTGAGCGAAATTGTGTAAACACTATAGGCGAGCTGGCCGGAGCCGCTCTAACTGGCTCAAAATTATTCGCAAAAATTAAATTCAGGCGAACTTGTTCATTATCGACTTGAACGTCCACATTGCACATCCAGTTTTTTTACTCAGTTACCAATAAGTTTTATTTAAAATGGTCAATAACGAACTTGTAAAAAGACGCACAATCATCGCAGGTGCCACATTCATAATTTTAAATTCACTTATCAAAAAAAAACAAAACAAAAAACAAAAAAGACGTTGGTGGATCACTCAATTGTTTAAGAACAGGGATGAACATGGTGGACTAAATTTAATCAATGATTTGCTGTTTCAAGAGAGTGGACAGTTTGAAAATTTCATTCGCATGGCTTATTCTGACTTCAAGTATTTAGTTTCATTGATTCGTCCGCAAGTAGAAAAACAAACCACGCATTGGAGGAAACCCATAAGTGTAGAGGAAAGATTAGCCGTGACTTTACGTTTTCTGGCCACCGGGGATTCGTATACTAGTCTACAATACACATTCAAAATCTCAAAGTCCACAATATCTAATATCATACCAGAAGTATGCATTGCATTAACAA